ATACACATATAAAAATCCTGCTTAGTCTATAAAATCAAATGTCAACACCACTAGTATAAATGAAAAGAGTCCCTCAAGGAGCCAATCCCTTCCCTTTCTACCTTTATCTATAAATTCAATAAAGTAGACTTCCACAAGGAAAGAAGTGATATTGTCCAAAAAGAAATGGACTCATTAAGCTGGGCGCTGGTGGCTCACGCCTGTAATCCTAGCTACTCAGGAGGCTGAGATCTGAGGATCACGGTTCAAAGCCAGCCCGGGCAGGAGAGACCGTGAGACTCCTATCTCCAATAAACCACCAGAAAACCGGAAGTGGCGCTGTAGCTCAAGTGGTAGAGCGCTCGCCTTGAGCTGAAGAGCTGAGAGACAGCGCCCAGACCCAGAGTTCAAGTCCCACAACCGACAAAAAAAGAAAAGAAAAAAAAAGAAATGGACTCATTGATTGACATATAACTGTAACCTTTCTGTACATCATCTTTATAATAACAATAAAAAATAAAAAACTTCCAAGTTGGGCTGGGAAGGTGGCTCAGTGGTAGAGCGCTTGCCTTGCAAGCATGAGGCCCTGGGTTCGATTCCTCAGCACCACATAAGCAAAAAGAAAAAAGCCAGAAGTGGTGCTGTGTCTCAAGTGGTAGAGTGCTAGCCTTGAGCTGAAGAGCTGAGGGACAGCGCCCAGGCCCAGAGTTCAGGCCCCACAACCGGACCCCCCCCCAAAAAAACTTCCAAATTAAAAAACTCTAATATCCTTATTTACATTTCCAAAAGTTAATCATTTACAAACTGCACACTTGAGTTAATAAGACATAAGCATGACTATTATAACAATAACATTCCTAAATCTTTCAAGATAATTATGAATTACTAACTAAAAGAGTGCCCATTCGCCAGGCATGGGTGGCTCACACCTGTAATCCTAGCTACTCAGGAGGCTGAGATCTGAGGATCATGGTTCAGAGCCAGCCCAGGCAGAAAAATCCGTGAGACTCTTATCTCCAATTAACCACCAGAAAAAATGGCAGTGGTGCTGTGGCTCAAGTGGTAGAGCACTTGTCTTGAGCTGAAGAGCTGAGGGACAATTCCCAGGCCCAGAGTTCAAGCTCCACAACTGACAAAAAAAAAAGTGCCCATGACTACTATAATATCAACAACAAAGGTTATATTTTAGTAATCATTACTATGTTAAGAGAGAAGCCAATAGCCTCAATGTTATAGAATATTTAACTCAGAATCTTTCTTGTGTATCATATTAGGATATGTTTATTGAGGGAAAATATTTTGAATCTACTTCAATGAACTAGGTTGCAAGGAACAATAGATTTTTTTCACCTGAAGTAGTAGTGCACATTTTCATTTTCAGGACTCAAGAGGTTGAGTCAGGAAGGGCTGGGAAGGTGGCTCTGTGGTAGAGCACTTGTCTTGCATGCGTGAGGCCCTGGGTTCGATTCCTCAGTACCACAAAAGCAGAAAAAAAAAGTCAGAAGTGGCGCTGTGGCTCAAGTGGTAGAGTGCTAGCCTTGAACTGAAGAGCTGAGGGACAGCACCCAGGCCCAGAGTTCAGGCCTCACGACCAGACCCCAAAAAAAACAGAAAGAACAAAAGAGATTGAGTCAGGAGATGGTTACATGAAACACTGTCAAGGAAAAGAAAGAGGAGAAAAGGTGGGAGGGAGGAAGAAAAGAAATACGTAAGATTTCCACTGATGGTATTTATGCTTTTGGTGGGGTTTGAACTCAGGACTTCATATATGCTCTCTACCTCTTTAGCCATGCTCTTAGCCCATCACTTAGAGTCCTTAAATTACAATATAACCTCTCTGCTGCCAGTTCTGGTTTACACAAAGCAGAGTAAGCATTAGGGCACCAGCAAATACAGTGTTAAAGAAGAAAAAAAAATCCTAAAGAAATTGATTTTTAGCAAAAGCAACTAAAGTTAGTGATCATGGAAAAGCCATGATCATTGTTTCACTCTTGTATTATTTTATATGGATCTCCTTCCGTGTTTAGGATCTCCAAAAATCCTAATCCAGAAGGCATGGTAGATGCATGTTTGTCATCCCAGGAAGCTGAGGCAGGAGAAGTACAAGGTCAAGGCCAGCCACGCATACATAGTGACTTCTAGGGTCTATATCCAAAAACTAAATCCAATTCAGTGTGTACATATAAATATTGTTTACTCAGTTATTCAGCAAAATGAATTTATTTCATGAAAATTATAACATATATGGCTGTTATTTTTGTTGTTGCTGGTGGTATGATTGTGTTTGTGATAGTCCTAGGGCTTGAACTCAGGGCCTGGGAGCTGTCCCTGAGGGTTTTTTTTTTTGCTCAAGGTTTGTGCTCTACTACTTGAGGCCCAGTTCCACTTCCAGCTTTTTGGGATGTGGTTAATTGGGAATTTCCTGCCTAGGCTGACTTGGAACTACACTCCATAGATCTTAGCCTCCAGATTAACTAGGATAACAGGCATGAGCTACAGGGCCTGGAAATATATCACTACACAAGTACAACTTGATTCTTTCTCATTACAGTATTTTCTGTAAGCAAGAAAACTTAATAAATGCTAGAAGACAATTTTTACACATTAGATACATGCTAGTTATTGCTTATCGGCCAATTGTGTTACTATACCATCACAATTTAGAGCTGTACTAAGCATTTATATAGTTCCCAGGATAATTACAAGCAAATTATTATTACTGGTATCGAAGACTCCTAAATGCTCTCCTTGAAATCTCGAAATATATGTAAGAAAAAAAAGGAGTTAATTTTTGTGTTGTCCCCCCCCCCAACCCTCGATTCACAATTCAGCTTTAGTTACCTTGGAAAAGAGCCCTGGATATTTTTTCTTTAAAAAAAATCAGTTAAAGAAAACACTACCATATTCGTCCTAGTTTTATCTCTAACAGTCTGTTGCTAGATGATGATCCAGATGTTTCTGACATGTTTACTTCAAGGAGCTAGGTACAGATGTTGCTTGAGGATATATATATCGTTGGCTGGTTCTGATTAGAAAACTTGTCATTTTTCTGTTGTTTGGTTTCATTTTGGCCACTGGGTGCAGCATACAACCGTGTTTTTAAGGGCATAAATATATAAAAAGTCTGCTAAAAGAAAAAGAAGTACAGAAAATTGGTGTTGGGTGACTTAAATAAATGACTGAGGTTGAGATAATTCCTTAACATTAGGACACCCTTCCCCCCCTCAACCAAAAACAGACCAAGCCCCAATCTCAGTAGTGAAAGAGAAAACTTGGTCCACAAAACAATAGCTTTGTTAGAAAATACTTCCCATGACTCATTTTAAGTTTTGAATTAATTACTTTTCTCCCTTTCATCCAAGAATAGAAACTGTTCCCGTTTTCCAGTCCCTGGATATGGATTTCACAGAGTTGGTTACGATTTCTTAAAATGTCTTTTGCTTTTGGTACCAAAAACTCAGTCTTTTACAGACTTTTGCTTTTTTGGAGCTCTGCGCTGGTCAGCCGGCTTCCTCTTTGGCCCTCCAGTTCTAGTTTTGGCAGGTGCCAGGCCGAGGGCCCGGGCCGGGAGCGGGAGGCCGAATTTACCCAGTGCGCGCGTCCAGGGAGGGGGAAAGGCGGACGCTGCAGGCCTGGCCGCTCGAACTTGGCGAGCCTGGCCCGGGAGAGCGGGCCCCGCCCCACTACAGCAGGGGAAAGGCTCCCTCGGCTACGGCCGGCTCCCGCTTTCCAGCAGCCAGCGCACCGGGCCTCTAGGGCCTTTCGGCCCTACACGGCCCCACAGCCTCCTTGAGAAACTCCCCAGTCCCCGCCCCGGTACGGCTCTGCTCAGCCTGAGGTTGCACACCGCGAACTCCAGCCCGCCCGCCTGCCAGACGAGGAAGGCCGGCCCCGCTCCGCAGTGCAGAACCCCGCTTCAGCAGAGGCGGCCCCTCGGAGCTGGCCGGCGAGAGGCAGCGCCGCGGAACCGCCGGAGGGTGGTGGGGAGCGCCGAGGCGGGAGGAAGGGCTCTGGGTCGGGGAGGCGGAGCGCGCGCCGCAGCCGGACCCAGCGCCACCAGGGCGGAGGGCGGGGCGGAGGGCGGTGCCCGGGCTTCCCGCTCCCGCGGCGCGGCAACTCGGCCGAGCCTCCTTAAAACTCTGCCGTTAAAATGGGGGCGGGTTTTTCAACTCAAAAAGCGCTCAATTTTTTTCTTTTCAAAAAAAGCTGATGAGGTCGGAAAAAAAGGGAGAAGAAACCGGCACCATCTCTGCAGAGGCAACAGAAACAGCAATTGTTTCAGGGGGGTGGGGGGGAAGAAAGAAAAGAAGCCAGGAAAGGAGAGAAGGAAAAGACCTAAAAGAGTGCCTGTAGGGGTGAAGGGAATCGGGACCCGCGATTTTGGGGGGACTAACTACAAAAGAAACTGTCACTGGCAGCGCTCCGACGCGGTTCGCCCCTGGGCACAGCTGGCTGGCAGCGGTCGGCGGCTTAGGCTAGGGGACACTGACCGGGGGACCGAGGAAAATTAGCCAAGTGGCACGGGGCGCCGAAGCTACAGGGCTCTCGCCAAGAGGTTGGCGGGACTGGTTGCACCCTGGAATTGTGGCGACCCCCGGTCCTCAGAGCCTGGCCAGCGTTCCCCCGGACCTTCCCCATCTCCGAAGGCCCTCCGACACCCGGGAAAAGAAGGAAAGGACGGAGACGGCGGCCACTCGATGAGCGACTCCATAAACGGGCTGAGCTAGCCCGGGCGGAGGCGGGAAGTTGCCGGCGAGCTGCCCCCGGCAGCAGCGATGCTGCGGCGAGCCGTCCCCACAGCCTGAGCCTCGCAGCTACCTCCCCGGTGTCTCCCCTCCTTCTTCGGACTGCCGGGAGTCCCGGGACCCGGTGGGGCAGGCATGACGGGCTTGCCGGGGGCCTGCCGCGCGCCCCGCAGCCTCCCGAGACTGGCGCCGAGCCCGGCTCCCACGGCCTCTGAGGCTCGGCGGGGCTGCGGCAGCACGGCGGGCGGGCTCCGGAGTCTTCCCGCCCGGCGTTAGCCCCCAACAGGGCCCGGTCGGGACTGAAGGCTCCCCGGGAGAAGTTGAGCACGCTCGGGAGCCCCTGAGACCTGCTCCTTGAGGGCCACGGAACTGCTTCTGCCGTCTGCCTTTGGCGATCATCTTTAACCCCCGGAGCACGTCAGCATCCAGCCCACCGCGGCGCTCTGCCGGCCGCCCTGGACTCGGGATTCTGCGAGCCGGATGGAACCCGAGCCCCTCCGAGGACCGGCCCCAGAAGTTCTGGCTCCAGTCACCACCGCGAACCAGGGTGGGTCAATACCTTTTCTTCACCCCAAATGCCTTTTCTTCTGCGGTATTTTTTGAGCTGGACCTCGTCCCTAAGAGTCTACACACGTAGTCCTCCCACCGCTCCGAGGCGTAGGTACGTGACAGCTCTGCCTGCATCTCACGTCCAGAGTGCTTACTCCAGAATGTCTGTGTGTCTGGGCTGGGGGTGTCGGGGTGGGGGGAGGATCATCAGAATTCTTCATAGGGGTTAAGCTAAAGAGAGCGGAGGCGCCCCTCTCCAATGGTTCAGTTTTGCTGAATAATCACGTGTGAACCGAGGGGCGGGCTTTTGGCAGGCAGATCTTACTAGTATTTACTACCAAGCTCTACTCCAGATTAACCATCCCAGTCCTTCTGTCAGTCTTCGATGCCATCATGCAGCCTGGTTAGGAGCAAAGGAATCGGGGGGGGGGGCAGGGGGCGAGAGAGAGAGGGAGAGAGAGAGTGAGAGTGAGAGGAAAAACAACTAATTCATCTTTTCCCGATCGTCAGGACCCTAAAGAATGGCCGAGCCTTGGGGGAACGAGTTGGCGTCCGCAGCTGCCAGGGGGGACCTAGAGCAACTTACTAGTTTGTTGCAAAATAATGTAAACGTCAATGCCCAAAATGGATTTGGAAGAACTGCGCTACAGGTTGGTATCCAGAGAGGTGGGGGAAAACAGGTTAAGAAACGTTGCCTACGTGAACCGGGTTTCTAGAATGACAGTATTTAAGCTTTTAGGGGTACCGATTTTCACTGTTATTTTTTAAAGCCTCCTTGGTTGCCATATTTTATATCTTTAAGAAAGGATCCAACTCCCCAAAATGACGTATTTTGAAGAAACTCGTCAAATCCAATAACATCCTCGATATCAAAAGGATCCTAGATTTTGGAATGTTTGTGTCTGTGTGTGTGTAAGACGGTGGGGATTTTAAAGTATTCGCAGCAGCACCGAGGTCTGTTTGTTTGGTTTTGTGTTGTTTTAGACAGCAATGTAAACACATTGTTCTGATTATTATTCGAAGTAAATACACCGCTATTAGTGGCTTTAGGTACTTTGCCCCTAATTGACTTTAACGCTAATTTTCTTAACTGCTAGTAAGGATGTTTTTCCTTCAAATGCTTCATGTTTTGACGAACGACCTTTCCTGGTTTGGAAGGGGCAGCCTGGGCACGGGGACAGGATGTACATTTCACAGTTAATATAATACCATCCACCCATTTAGGGGTGAGAAGAAATAAAAGCTGAGTTTTCTAATCAGAGGTTAGGTACAGTGTTTTTGTCCCTGCAGTCATGTCGTGGTATGCTCTAATTTTCAGTAATTAGATTTACAGGCAACAATTGACACATGTCCAGCTGCCAAGTATATACCTGATAATATTTTTTTTTCTCCTCCAAAAGTTATCATGTAACTTAGTTGAGAGGCTTAAAAGCAGAAGAATGGAAAATGAGTCTTAAATAGTTATATCAGAGTTCTGATGATATTCTTATTCCGATGCTGCTTTTGAAAACACATTGGGGAGGCTTTTAGAGGATTTTGTTTCGGTTCTAAAATTGAAATTTTTACTGGAAGGAGATATCACAAGGTCAATACAATCTGAATATTTTAAAATCAGAATTCACTGGCCTTGCAAACATTTTAGCATTAATAAAGCATATGCATATTATCTTACATTTTTATTTTGTTTATCTTGTTTCAGGTACATTCAGTAGGAAGAAGATTTTTTTTCTTTTCCTACTTATTAGTTTTGAACAGGCGTGGTAGTGATAGTAATGCCACAAATTTAATACATTGAAAAGTTTCCTAAAGAAAAGTCAAAAGATTAAAATAATCTCACAAAGAATGAGCCACTTATCCAATGTTCACAATAAGAGCTTATAGGATTTTGATGAACTGGAAGACTGGACAAGGAATACTATTTTTAAAATTTTTTGAAAAACATTTTAATGTAACTCTGCAATCTTGTTTATATTAACAGACTTATCAAGATAACAACACCCACTTAATGTGGCTTAGCTTTAGTAATATAATGAAACACATGAACAAACAAGAGTCTCAAGGCTTATTTTCAGTATGCATAATCCGAATTGAAGTTGTGACCTAAGAACTTTCTTCAATACCATTACTAAAATTACTATTGTTTTCTATGAAAGATAGCGATTTTTCTCCTATAGTTATATTTACTTAACTCAATTGCTAATGCTTGTTCTCCCTTCCTAGTGTTTTTCAATCTGGATAATATCAAAGGCCTTAGTTGTACATTTGCTTTACACAGATCCAAGGTGTCTCTCTTGTTCTTCTCATTCTAGATGAGAAAACTTGTGGCAAAAAATTAAGAGTCATTAACTTTTAATAACTAAAAAGTATAGTTCATAAAAGTTCTTGAAAAATTAATAATGTGTCATTTTTACCACTACCTAAAAAAAGGCCTAACAGTTCACAGTTTTATCAACAGAGAAACTTATTATCTTGACTACCTATATAGTTTACATTTATAAAATATTACTTTAAGTACATTTTATTACATTACTTAGTTTGTGATTACTAAAGAAAACGTTTTAAAAAGAGAAATCAATTTTGCATATATTTCCAATTATTATTTGACTTAATAAACAATGAATATCTACTATACAACCTATTTATTATAAATGTAGATTATTATAAATATAGCTAATATAAATGCAATTAGTTAAAATTTTAGCATGTTAATGACAGTAATGTTTTTCATGACTAAATTATAGACCTTATACTTATATGCTATTCAAGATAATTTTAATTATGAGAGTTCGACATGCCTTATTAAACTGAAATACAAACAACAGTAAATAAGTGTTCATGATATAAATTTGCACTTTCCTAACAAACTTTAGAGTTTTAAGATATTAGCAGTTTACAAATAGTTATTCCTAAATGCTTATAGTAACTATAAAAGGAAATAAGACAAGCTCACCAATTGATTATTAAATAGACTCAAACCACAAGACAAATCCATCTGTTTCTCCAACATATATTAAATATCTTTTTTTTTCTTTTGCTCTCTTGAATATCAGGAGGCTAGTTAGAATTCTGAGAAACAGTGAATAATATAATTTGATGACTATTTTTTCTTTTCAAGAACAGTTGCCATACAGTCATTTCCTATCTAATACAAGGCATAACATGAACCTAGTTTAAGATAAATTGATATAAAAACAAGCAGTGTAGAACACTGTGGCTTATTTAACACCTTAATAATCAGTAACATTCTGTAATTTGAAATGAATTCTAAGCACTGAATGGGTAGCCAATATGAAGTAGACTGCAAAGAAAGAAACTTAAGTGTTTGGAAATTTGTGAAAAATAACCAGTTAAGAAAATTTCAGTTTTACACTAGGTGGCCTTTGAGGTTTTAAAGAAACCCATCGTCCTTATTTGCTTTTAGCAGCTATTTGTAAAGTAAATTTTCCTCACGTTTGGTTTTCCAGAATTAATACCCCAGGCATATTTTATGTGCATGGAAAGGCAAACAGGAGGTTATTTAAATCCCATATTTCTTCTATTTTAAGGAATTCATGAAAGAAACTACACAACTCTTCTTAGAAGATAAAAACCTGAGTTATCCATGAAATTTATAAAGGTGCACAAATTATATTTTATTGATCAACTTATCCTATACCATGGCCCATTTAAGATATTCAATCAATTAGAGATGCTCAATTTTAGAAGCTTATTTTTACTTTTCCTAACTAGTACTTTCTGGCCACTATGCCCTTCAACTCTATCCTACAAGTCTCCCCCAAGTAGTCCATCAGTAGCAGTTAATAATTTAAAGTATTCCTCTAGCATGAGCACTCGAAGTATTCTACCACTTTTAAACTTCTTTTCTAGGTAATGAAACTTGGAAATCCTGAGATTGCCAGGAGACTACTACTAAAAGGTGCTAATCCCAATTTGAAAGACGGAACTGGTTTTGCTGTCATTCATGATGCAGCCAGGGCAGGTTTCCTGGACACTTTACAGACTTTACTGGAGTTTCAAGCTGATGTTAACATCGAGGATAATGAAGGGAACCTGCCCTTGCACTTGGCTGCCAAAGAAGGCCACCTCCCAGTGGTGGAGTTCCTTGTGAAGCACACAGCCAGCCATGTGGGGCACCGGAATCATAAAGGAGATACCGCTTTTGACTTGGCCAGGCTCTATGGGAGGAACGAGGTCATTAGCCTGATGGAGGCAAATGGGGTGGGGGGAGCCACAAATCTGCAATGAATGTGAGGAGAGCTTTTGCACATTACTTCTATTGTGTCAGTTAATTGATTGCCTGTCCTATTTTTAACATCATTTGTTAAAATATATAGTTCTTCATACTTTAAGAAGCTAGTTAAATCTTTGAAACTATATAAGTGGAACTTTTACTAGAGTCTTAATGAGTATATTTAAGCAGTATCTTTTTCACTTGCAAAACCCTTATTTCTAACATGTAATTGCAAATAAGTGTTGGCTTTCTTCTGAATATTTTATTTTTCCTTAACTTTTTCCTTGCTTATCCTTTTGCCAGTCTTGATCTCCCTGAATGGCAGAAATGTAAAATTACACAATGTTTAAGTATTAAAGTAAAATACAAGCACCAGTTTGGGGGGAACAAAGACATTTAGCCAGAAAACTGTATAAATTACATATAAAGGTCATAACTATTTTAGAGTTTTTGAAATAATAAATGTAGAAACTTTTGCAATAAATAAATAAGTCACTCCTCCATATGGTACTTGGTTTTCACAAGACTTTTTAGTAAATGAGTATATTTTGGGAAACATGTTTAGCTATGACTAAAAATTGAATGAAAGAGAAATATCTCAAGATATATCTCCAAGAGAATTTTCCAGCAACTACTATTTATCCTGTCATATTAATTAATAATTGTCACCAAAAGATTTTAATGCACTGACCACTTTTAATAGTTTATAATCTGCCACATGAGCAAATATGTTTTATGTGAAAAGTCCCCTCCTCCTGCTTTATAAACTCTCTGCCCTCACTTCAAAAAGAACAAAATACTTCAAGGTTTATTGAAGGGCATGGTTCTGACGCCTTTCCTAACAAGGACTGGAACGATTGCAGGCAAGTGGTTTATAAAGCTTTTATTTTTCATTATTATATAAAAATATATAAAAGCAGAAGGTAAAACTTTTTTTTCATTTTTGGACTAAAACTTGCATTCCTTAAGATGAGTGTAACAAGACTTTCCCTTCTGCCACCTTTAAGCACAAGTTACTAAATTTATTTTTCATGGCGGCATGAAATTAAACTAAGACATTTTTTTTAAAGCAGACTGAACAAGCTTATTTGAAACCAAAAGAAAAGCCATGAAAGAAAGTGGGGAGATGTAGGGAGACCTCTATTCAGAGAGAGGCCCCAAAGAGGAGTCCCAAAGACAAATTTTTTTTGAAAAAGTCCAAATTGAGATTGTTTTAGAGGAAAAGTTGTATTTTGACTTAAAGAATACACAAAATATATTGCTTTACTAAGCTGAATAGTTTCCAAGCCCACTATTATTGAAAGTAATTTAAAAAAACTCTCTTACAAGTTATCAACTACATAGATGAAAGCTTTTGAATTTGAAATTCAGCTTAATGATCCTTACTCCCCATGTCTCAGCATTTGCTTTATCACATACTGTAAAAATTGCCTTTAGGGGTTTGATAATTCATATATAAATGCACAGAACATTGATAAAGCAAAAGAGAAGAAGTACAGCAACTGCTTTGTTCTTTCAGATCGGACCACCATACCATAGAGAGGGAGGAAGCGCATCTCTTATCAGCCTAAAATTTGCTAGGCATTAAACATCTCCACTTTTGTCTGGCTTGTCTCAGGAAGTAGCTTTGCTAATCTAAGTATTTTAGAAATGAGTTATCTGGTCCCTTCTAGGAAATTGGAAAAGCCATTATTCAATCTTTCAAAAACCTCGACAGTACTTAGTAAAACAATTTTTAATATGTCAGAATGTATAGGATGGAAGAGATGGCGCTACAGAGTTAAAATGAGGTCTGATTTGCAAGGAGCTTAGTGAGGGAGGCGTCTGAATTTATTCAGGTGCTGGGAGTGAGGTGGCTAATTCAATGCTCCCAGCCCAGATGATGTTGCTATAGAAAGTGTGGAAGACACAAAGCAGAGATGCGCTCACAAATTCAGTTCTTCACTGAGCGCACAGTCCTCAGCGAAACGGGGTTAGCCTTTGCGCAATAGGCTAAAACCCAGCTCACAAACCTGGAACAAGAGCGAGGCGCTTCCAGGACCTACCTGCTGGTCCCCGAGCCACTAACCAAAGTGACTTTTTTTTTTTTATCATATTCCAGTAATGAATCAATGACATTGCTGCATCTAGCAGTAGCGTGATGAGCTCAGGCACGCGCACACGCACGCACACACACACACACACACACACACACACACACACACACCCCACGCTGGGTATCCCGAACACATGCAGTGTTCAGGGCTGAGGAAACAATTCACTTAACAATATGATACATTTCCCTTATCATACTAATCAAACGAACACGGTAGAAATCGTAGCCCAGAACTGGTTTCAAAATCTCAGTTCTCAAAAAAGAAAACAAATAAATAAAGTGCTTTCGGGTTTTAACGGTGATGCAAGTAATTGCCCAGAAGCGCTGGGGGGGGGGGGGGAATCAGTGCTGGAGGGAAGGCTGGTCCTGTGGTCCTTTCTGACTGTCCTAAGCTACCTCTGTCGAAATGCTACAGGGAAAAGTCTCTGTTTTAGTCACTGGAGACTTTTTTTTTCTTTTACACAGTAGTTCCATGAAAACATCCACGCAGGGACCTAGTGAGAGGCTGGAAACAAACTTTCCGCCTGAGGCCAGGAGGAAACCTCTGCCCCATGCAACTGTGGAGTTGCTGCGAAGACATCCTTTCTATCCTTTTGAAACCCTTTCTTCAGACTTAACTCCGGCCCCAAGGAGCCCAACTGAGAAAGCAGGAGCCCGGGGCGCCCTCCAGGGCGCGCAGAAAGCCCGGGGTGGGGGTGGGGGAGCTTCAAAACCGTTAGCTCGCTTTCCCCCCTCCCTCTCTAAGGTTTCTTTTCTCTTCCTGTCCAAATATTTCAAATTTCCGCGCCTTAAATAACAGTCTCTTTTTATTTAGTTAGTTTTCCCCGGCAGGTTTGGCCCTCGGCTTGGCTCTGTCCACCTCCGGGCCCGGCATGCCTGCGGCAGTGCCCTGGTGCTGGTGCTGGGCCCACCGCCCTGGCCCCCCGGGACCCAGCCCGCGCGGAACCCGGCGCGCCCACCGCAGCCACAGCCCCCTCCCGCTGCGACCTCGTTTGACCCGGCTGTCCGGGCTCGCGGAGCCACGCAGGCCGCCCTCACGCCCAGGCCGGCCGGACGCCTGCCGGCCTCTCCTGCGCCACTGCCCTCCCTGGACTTGGAAGCGTCCTGGGCTTTGGGCTGAAAACCCCGTGGCCCAGGAGCAGCGGAAGGGCGAGCAGCGGACGAGGCGCGTGGCGGGAGCCGGCCCCAGCCCCCAGCGCGAGGGTAACCTTGGAGGCGCCCCGGCCCTCGGAGAGAGGGTGAGTGAGTGCGTGCGTGCGTGCGAGCCAGCGAGCGTGCGCGGCAGCCCCGGCCGCCCCGGGCGAGCTGGCGCACCGCTCGGCGGGCGGGAGGCGGGAGCTGGGGCAAGGGCGGAGGGAGTGGGCCGCCGCCTCCGCGCCCGCGAGCTGCGGGGTACCCCCAAACTGCTGGGACCCGGTTTCCCGTCCTCTCCTAGACCGCCATCCAGACCCTCGGAACCCCCACCCTCCCACACCCTGGGGAGCTGTGCCTGCGGACTGGGGCCGGAGCGAGCGGGCCGGTGAGCGCCTCGCTCCCCGCGGAGGTGAGCTGGCGGCGGGAGCGGCCGGGCGGCCTCAGCCCCTCGGCGCGCGCGCCGCCTCGCCCGGTGACAGCTGAGGACAGCCGGCTACCAGTCCGGCGTCCAGCTGCCAGGAGGCGAAGACCTCCCGGGCTGCTCAGCCCCCTCCGACGGCTAGGAAGGTTGCGCTCTGGCTTGGCCTCCCCGACTGCAGTGACTTCGATGACGTCCGCGACTGAAAAGGCATGATCGTGTGGAAAAGACCCTCAGCCCCCCAACCGCGAATCCGAGGCTAGGCATGCACACCAAGTCTTATTTTTTTTTGTTGTTCTGTTATTTTTTTTCCTAATCCAGAATAGTTTAGGAAGTCCAGTGGGTCTCTTTAGCTTCTGTCTCCAAAGAATCACAGTTCCCCAGAACTGGATATATGAAGGTTCCAGGGAGATGCCTTGCTATCCGCTGTAGAGCCATTGTGCGAAGTCAGGTGTTAGGATGTGAATTTAGAATTTTCTGTGTTTTTAATTCTCACAGATTTTTTTTTTAAGCTCAGTAACATCCAACAAGTGAGCAAAGGTTACCCTGCCTCCACAGCACCTGCAAAAGCACTACTGGAACTCACATATTTTTTCTGAGTTTTAAAATGGCTTCTGAACCATCCAGAGGTATCAGTACAGAAGAGGAGCGGACAGGAGGCAAAAGGAGTTTGCACATTAAAAAAAAAGAAAGAAAAATCAACCTACAAAGATACTATTATTATACTGAAAGTGTTCCACATAACCCTCCTTCTCTTCCAGCTTTCATCATCCCTCAAGGATTTTAGCATAGCCCTACTTAACTTCATATACAGGCCTTTTCTCTTCCCTCACATCCTTCCACCCCAACCAAAAAACACAAAACAACCAGCCAAAAATATCAGCTCTTTTGGGGAGGAAGTAAGAAACCACCAATCCCTATCCAACAACACTTCATTTATTTTGAGCACTAAGAAGAAATCATACAATCAGTGCTATGAAAGAAATAGTTTACTTAGGACTCAAACACATTTAATTGGCATAATTAAGGTGATAGTGCCTTTTAACATGAAAATAATGGGACACTTTCTGGGAATCACTAAATGAAAAACTCAAAATTCTTCTTGGGCATATTTGGAGACAGAGGTTTCTGCTTTTAGTATGTCATCAGTTCTTAGAAAAAAATAAAACTGGTATTTTATCTTGACCATATATAAAGCAGTATCATGCTAACTAAATTTATTTTAGTTATATGCTTAAGATGTTCTGATTAGTTACATGAACGGGGAAAGTTCACACGTACAGGAAAACTGTCAACATTTTCATAATGCTGGATTTTTAAACTTAGGATGCAACCAAATTACTCAACACAGCCTTATCAAAAACAGTCCTCTCTCCTATTCCTTCTCAGTGGACACTTTGCACACTTACTAGAAAAGAAATCAGAGTTTTTAAATGTGTGCTTTGGAAACATGACTTCATAAAATTAAAACACAGATCTTTAGGAATAATTATTTGGCTATTCTGTGTACAGTTAATGTCTCTCCTCTTACAATCTGGAGAAACTGTACTATACATTTGGGCCCTTTAAGAACCTAGATAGTTCTTATACTTTTCATCTTTAGATTTATTTTTATTAAAATTATTGTCTTCAATGACTCAGCAGCATTCTAATGTCCATCTACTAATTTAAGACTTCAGCCATTAGACAAGAAATGTAATCACTACCTTACTTATGTAACTGTAATCCCTTTGTACATCATTTTGACAATAAAAAAAAGACTTCAGACAAAATCAGGCTATTTTAAAATGACATGTGTTTATTCTTGGTCAGAATTTGGAGCAGATATGAGTAACTATGTACATCTTAAAGGCCTAGA